CTTTCTGGGGATGAATCTGTCCCTTCTCCATTTCTTCTGAGAGTCTCTCTCCCTGACAGTTCCCAATTTGGTCTACATTTATCCCCTCTGCCCCAGAAACAGTTTCCCAATGCCACAGTGGCGGCTCTTCTGCTTCTGAAGGTAGAGGCTTTAGTCCATCTCTATCTTCAGGGTCTGTGGGGTTTGAGTACAGACCGAAACTCAAGTTTCTGCTTTTCTAACAAGGGAGATTTTTGCTATCTCTAAGCTCTCATTAGGACAGGTGTGCTTCCCTAATTAGGCCTTCACCTGGCCCAAATCCCCAGTAGATTGCTTTCCTTTGTCTGAGTACTCTCTGACAGAGCTTATTGCCTGAGGCAATCACCCCTTAAGGCAACTCACCCCTTAAGGCAACACTCCCTCACCTCACCCGAGTCAGTCAAAACAACGCTTTTTCCAGAAAGGTGCTTTCTCTGATAGAAAAGAAAGCTTTACTCCTGGATAGTTCTCCATTCTGCCCTGGCTGGGCTCTTTCCCCAGAGTCATTCCTGACTGGACTGCCCAGCTGCTTCAGACACAGTTCAGCTTGACTGCTTTCCCCAGCAGCTCCTCCTGTCAGGGAAGGATCTGTTTTGGCTCTTTGCAGCTCTGTGTCTGCAACTTTCCCGAGTCTATGGCTAAGTTCTAGCTGTAGGAGAATCCTGGCTAGTCGCTTCTGGGTTGTTGGTTAGAAGTGAAGGTACAACACTGAACAGAGTTTTAGCTCATTGCTCCGGGGATCTTTGCCTCAGGGTAGTTAGGAGCACCCTTTCATTCCGACAAGTGCTCACTCAGAAACAAAACCCTTGATGCCTCAAGCTCAGCTGTAACTGAAAAGACTTGGCTTTTTTGCTTCCCCCACAGTTTCCTGCCTCATTGGGCTCTCTGTGGCTCTTCACCCACACTCTCCCAAGCATTTCCCTCAGGGGATTCTAATCTGCTGCCTTTTACTAGCTGGAAGAGATAGAGCTTAGAGCAGAGGTTTTTAGGAACTCAACCCCTGCCTCCTGCATTGCAGGGAGGATTTTTAAGGCTTGAAAAAGAATTTAGAGAGGTTTTGCTGTCTAAAGAGGTTTGTTTTCCCTTAGAGCTAATCTCAGGTGATTCCCATACTAATATCTTCAGGTGATTCTAATTTTTGTCTTTCTGAGAGAATTTTGAAAGTTTTTTTTTAAGAGACCTTTTAGTTTGAGAAAGATTAAGGATTTTTAGAGAGATCCCCCCCCCCAATTTTTCTAAGAAAAGCTTTTTAGTTTAAAAGAAAGATTTTTTTTTTTTTCCCAAGAGAGAGTAAGACCGACTTTCCCCAAAACTTCTGAACTTTAAACTTTTTGGCTTCTTATAACCCAATTTTTGCCTCAGGGAGAAATCACTTTCTCCTCGTGCTTGGACTTAGCATTTCAACTGTCCTCGGGCCAAAAGCTTCCATAGAAAACTTTTTTCTGCCCTATAAGCTCAAAGAAGAGCTTTTTTGCTACGCATAAAGCTCAAAGAAAAATCCCCCCACCATTTGCGTCATAGCCCCCGAAGTTAGAAAACTGAAGTTTTTCTTAGTTGCCTTATCTTAAATTTTTCTACATGATGTTACACTTCTAAGTTTTTCCTACACTGTATTACTACACTATAACTTATACATATTTTTCACAGACAGAAATTAGAAAGAGATAGAAGAAGTCTTGATAGAGGAAATTTTTGTGCTGCAGCATCAGACATCCTTCCAGTCTGTTTTTCCTTTTCTCTTGAGGATAAAGCCCCCTGCCCTTATTAATTTCTGTACTTTCACTTAAACACTAGACTGGCCACTTCTTACTCTGTAATAAAACTAAGTATTACTGTTGTTTTCCTTTGCCTTTAGTCCCTGTTCATGGTGCCATTCTGCAGGATGTTTACCCACCAACCCCACAGTTCCCCAGAGTTTTCTTGAGTGAGAGCAGCAGGAAATACTAGAAAGAAGGATTTAGAATGTGGAGATAAACAAATAGAAAATACTGGATAGCCTGGAGAGGGCTTAGAAACTATTCCAAAGGGCCCTGACTGTCTCTGCCCTAGGGTACTTATAGAAATGTCAAGGGGTGGAGCAAAAGACCTCCTCCCCAGCACAGCCAAATGCAGACCATTTCAGACACCTGCACTCAGGCCCATGGTCCAATCATGCCCTCTATGCAGACCTGCTGGTAAAGCCACCAGGAACCTGAAAATGGGCTCCCACAGGCAAGGTGGTCCTGGGTTGTATAAGAAAGTAGATTAAGTAAACCCTGAGGAACAAGCCAGTAAGAAGGATTCCTCCATTTATTCTGTTATAGTTCTTGTTTCTGTGTTCCTGCTCTTGATGTCTCTCTCTATGATGGACTGTTAGCCTGGAGTTACAAGCTATAAAAAAACACTTTTCCTTCCCAAGTTGTTCTTGGTCATGATGTTTAAAAGAAGCCTAGCCATGGAAGTATCTTAGTTTCTTTTCTAACTTTACAGTGATTAAAAATAAAAGTTCAGAAATAGCACTTCACAGGTAATGAGATTACATGAACTGCTGAGACATGAGCTATCTGAATGTGTCTTAGACAGTGGACAGTCTGGTTCATAATTTTGTTGTATAACTCATATTGGCTTTGTCATCTACTTGATAACCATCATAATGATACATCTCCTAAAAATTTAAAAGGAAAAAATTCACATTCATTTATTTCAGATACTTTGGGTTGCTTGTTTTATTAATTAAAATTTTAGTCACTTGCTGTCACAGCATAGAGCTAATGACTAAGTTTAAAGTCTTATTGAAATTCCCATAGAAAATACTTATTATACCCAGAAGTTGAATCATTGATACTTATGGTATATATAGAAAATGGCTATAAAGATAGCTCAGATTACTTTTTAAGTTTACAATAAAGAAATGATAACTTCTTTAAGAGAAAAATAGTTTTACCCTAATTTAAACACAATACTATGTATATGCATACATATACCTACAGGTGTATGTATTAACCAATAGGGTGCTGCATTGTATAAATTTATATACCTTAATATTTCTATGTACTAATTAAAATCAGTCCCAAGTGGAACATCTACAAAACAACTGTTGCGCCTAAGGGTCAAGGAATACTGTTGAAAAGAGGGTAGAAAGACTGTAGGAGTTGTAGCATGAATCTTGGAGTCTTATTAATAAAATCAAACCCAGAGCCAGGTATTGGGGTGAATGATCAGAGAGACAGAACAAGACACAGCCACCTCACCTTGCCAATTTCTCAGTTGATCCTGTTTCCTCAGACTGGAAGCCTCTGAATCCTCATCCAAATGATCTCAGCTGGACTGCTGCTCAAAAACCTAAAAGCTTAACCAAGTTTAGTTCCTGGTTTTCACGCCCTATATATCTTTCTGCTTTTTGCCATCACTTCCTGGGATTAAAGGCATGGGTCACCATTCCTGGCTGTTTCCAGTGTGGCTTTGAACTCACAGAGATCCGGATGGATCTCTGCCTCCAGAAAGCTAGGATTAAAGGTCTGAGTGCCACCATTTTCTGGCCTCTATGTCTGTCTAGTGGTTGTTCTATTCTCTGACCCCAGATAAATTTATTAGGGTGCACAATATTTTGGGGAACACAATGTCACCACAAGGAGCCAAAGAAACTGGAAATTTGCTGTGAGGCTGTGTCTCCTAGTAATTTCAGAAGTTATACCCATAAAGTTCCATTAACATCGCTGCCTAAACTTGAGTTGAACAGGAACAACAATAAACATCCTAACATGGAAAGGAGAAAGAATTCAAGGCTTCAACTTTTCACCAAGAACCACAGGTGACTAAGGAATGATAAGAGCAGGAGACATAGACTTCCTCAGGAAAGAGCACACTAATTGGTTATTCAGTATCAAGTGGTTAGCCCTGAAATAATTCATACAAGTAACATTATATAGAAAGGACAGGTTACAGGTATGAATATATATTTATACACATATGCATGTAACAACAATTGATAAGAAAAGGACATGAATTTGAAAGAGAGCAAGGAGGTGTATATGGGAAGGTTTAGAAGGAGAAAGGGGAAAGGGGCAATGATGTGATTATAATCTAAAAAATAAAATTTTGAAAAAATAGTTTTATTAAAATGCAAGCCTTTACTATACCTTTAATTAAAGTATATATTTTAAGTTGAATTAGTATAATAATTGGACAGTATGTTCTACTTTAAATATCATTTTATTTTATAGGGAATCACAATTTTATCAAGTGGAGAAGCTCTAGTGCTTATCCTGGTGGGGTGGTGAGGACGATTTTGGAATACTGTCGCTAGATCGGGAGAACACCTTTGACAGAGTTGAAGATACCTTTGCCAGCACTTTAGATCCTTGCTTGGAAATAGTGTTCCTGGAAGTTTCTGTGGGAAAAAAGATGATATTAATGACCTGAGAGATAACTGAAGTAGTTAAATTACAGCAATGATTTAGAATTCAGAAGTTGGCATTTTTAAATTGATCTGTATTTTCTCTTGACTTGTTCTGCTCCCCAAAGGAATCGTGCAGAGTAATGCCCTCATTTATGGACTATGAACTCTGGTGAGGTCAAAGACCTTGCTTGAGATCATACAGACAAAATGAGTCTAAGCTAGGAACATGCTTCAGTAATTTTATCTCTCCTGGTGCAGTAGTATCCACTTGACCTTGAGGCATCTCCAGGTAAGTGTGCAAAGTCCACTTTTTGTCTCTCCTGAAAACTATTTGGAAATGCCTAATGAGCTGAACATGGTGATACATTTCAGTGCTCTGTGTGTGGGTTCTATTTTATAGTGCTCAAGTGTAAGAAGACATATATTAAAATGCTGTAATTCCTCCATTTTGTGTAAATTTCCTTTTGAAAGTCCATAGATAGATTTCTTTGTCATGTAAGATATGATGTAAAGATAAAGAAAATGTCAGTATTGGGATTTAGTTTTCTGTATCAGCTATTAGTAGCCCGAGTCTTTTTTTTAGCAAATATCTCAATTTACGATAACTTGTAATAGAACTGGAAAACACATAAGATGTCAAAACTCAGCATTTCCCTAAGTGTAATATATAATTTCAAAAGTCAGGAATCTTTCTTTAAATATCTATATTTAGCTTCTCTTTTAAAAAGAAAGAAAGAAAGAAAGAAAGAAAGAAAGAAAGAAAGAAAGAAAGAAAGAAAGAAAGAAAGAAAGAAAGAGAGAAAAAAATGAAGGAAGGAAGAAAAAGAAAAAGAAAGCTCTGAAAAGGCTGCTAGGAATCTAGCATTCAGTGACCACAATCCTTATTCCACTTCTATTGCATCATCCATCTTGCTCAGGAAGCCATACTTTCTTGTGAACCATGGTGCTCCTGAAAGACCATAGGCCCTAAAAATCCTGGGGTTCTATGTAGCTCAGCAGCTATGTGACTTTGGAGAACTCATTATGGTTTTTCTCCTGAATTATTCCCATTTCATTCTTTAGTAAAATATGGAGAGCTGTGGTCTCACAAATGTTAGTTACACCATCTGTTACCCCTTGGTGTCCAACATTAAAGACAATTATATAATAATCTATAGATATTTTATACAAATGGTATTATTATTATATCAATCCCATATTAATAATGTACAAGACAAGGGCCACTCATCCTGGAAAGATCAATGATAAAAATGTCTACATTCACAATAATATTAATAAGAGTTTTACTTCATTTGTGTTTAAAAGTTACTGCATTTTGTACCTGAAATGTGTTCCTTTGAGGCACGTGTACTGCTGGCCATACACTTTGATCCTTCAAAGATGGTGACAAACTGCCAAGACAAATTGGCATACTTAGTCTTTGGACAGTCAAGATTACATATGCCAAGAAATACCCAAATATATATCTACCATTACACAATTTCATGCAAGTGAAATCTTTATTATTCTGCTTCAAATAAGCCCCCTCTAAGACTCAGGCAGGTGAACTGTGCCATTTATAGTATTGAGGATTTGTCTTTGTGATAGGTGATGACCTTGGCTTTAACCACATGACAACCAAAGGCTGAGCCCTGTTGACTCTTAGAAAATGTCAGCTATTTGCCTACCTCTTCCTTCACATTCACTGCAATACCTTGCAAACATGTTTCTGAGAATGGATAAAATGATAAGGGAGAATCCAAAATGCTTCACTTTGCATCTCTCAATTTTCTCTGTGTAAAGTTTTGCAATTTACAGCTTCTGAAACAATAGAGTCACTTGTTTTGATATTTCTAGGAACATGCCAGATGCTAGGAGTTTTTTTGGAAACTTGTGTTATTTCTCTGAATAAAGAAGAGTAATTGTTCCTGAAAGGCAAGATGTGGCCACTACCAAGACTCAAGTTCTCAAAATCTTTTGTATATATAACTTCAAGTGTTCAAGAGAAACTTCAGTTAGACATGTAGGTACTGCCTTGCCTAAGTCTCTCTTTCTATATTTAATTCCCCTTAGCTTTTGACCCTTAACAGACCCTCTCCCTTTAATCAGCTGCTTAAAATGCCCTAGGGCTCTAGTCTCCTTGTGTGTTGTTTCATGCTCCTTAGGATTGCATTCACTTCCAAAGAACAGAAACAAAACAACAGGTCCACTCCACAGTTTTCATCACCTTGGAAGCTTTATGTACTCTGGTAAGAAAGAATATTTTTCTTTCAGAATTTTATGTGGCATCTTGTTTTCATGACTGACATTGACATGGTAGCAGGAAAAACAACCCATTCCCTACCACTATGGGACAAGTATCTAGGCATTCTAAGCAAATTTCATTCTATCTTTTCTTTCTTTGAAATTTCAAAATTGTGCCAGGAAATACTGAAAGAATGTTTAAGAAATGGTATTGAGTGCTCTTTGAGATTTGATTTCCCATTCTAAACTTCTACTATCTATTTTCGGATCCTCACTATTGTCCACAGTTTTCAGTTGTAATCAACTAATGGATATGTGTGAGTGAAGGGTACTTATACAACTTTATTTAGAAATGTACCAAATAACAATTTTAACAATAGTTTGGGTACGGAAAAGGTAACAAAAAAGGAAAGTACAACAGTGGAAGAGTGTCGACTAGCTAGGAATTCAGTGTCAGTCAAAGTCATGTTAATGACTTTCAGACTAGAACTTCAGGGCTTCTCTTCCACTGACATATAATTTTATTTCCTGCAAGGCATGAATTAAATGAGGTTAGAGATTATTAAATAGATGCTTACATTCATAAATAAAGATTATGTTGACTGTAGAAGTGACTGGTTTCTTTGGAAAATTGGCAAAAATTTCTTTAAGTGTGATACAGGATTTTATGAAATTGGGTCTGAAAATTGTACTATATTGTAATACTGGAAAGTTGCTGAGTGGCTGGGAAGTTTGTAATTCTGTATTAGTGAATGTGGGTAAATAATGAAATTGGATTAAAATAAACCAGGAAGACACCGTGAAAAAGAATGAAACAAAGAAAATTACATCAGGATCTATTAAAAGGGTTCAGGAAGAGGAACGTTCCTCAGCCCACACCATGTAATAGTTAGCTGTATGTGAAGAGTCAGTCTGTAGAAACATGAAAACATGGGTGAAAATAGGCATTCATAGTCTTCCTGACTCATCTTTGAAGTTACTCTAAATGTTCTGTCTCCATCTACCACATCATTACTGGACCCTTAGCCCTAGGCAGAATCAAGTAACTCATCCCTTTAGGCTTTTCTTCAGAATCAGAACAAGCTATTAATGGAATTGTAGTTAGGTGTTGAGAATCAGTGGCTTATTCTACTCACCCAAAAAAATGAATTCTTATTAAAATCCAAGGATCAAATACTTTCCTAAAGGGATTTTTTTTTCAGATATTAAGGACAGGTCTCATTTAGATGGGGAGATCTGAGTGTGAAGCAATTGTGAATAAAGCAGTGTTTACTGATGTTCCCCAATAATGTCACTCAGGCTCTGATAGAATTTGAAAATTGAGCTATTTTACAACTAAACCCCATTGTATAGAAACTAGAGGATATTGAAGAATATTTACCTGAACACTGCTTGAGTTTCCTGCTTGTGGTTTCTGAGAACCTTCTGGAAAAACCAGGAAGAAATATATATATAAATTGTTGATACTAATCCAGTATTTTTACCTCAATTAATAAAACTTAGATATACAATTGTTATTATTTTTAATGAATAGACAGTTGGAACAAATTTTAAACAAATAAGAACCCTAGAATGTTAGAAGATGCATTTGCTTTCCACTTGGAAATTATTAAAGATGAGTATGATGTATCAGGAGAAGCAAACTCTCTGCTTCAGTAGCTATACATCTATGTAATGCCACTCAATCCCGGTGCCTATTTTTTTAACCTATAAAAGAGAAATTACTTTAATGATAGTCCCTAAGTGCCTTTCCAACTTTAACATGCCTTATATTTATCTAACTACAAAAAGGTAAGTGTGTCAGATAAGGTGGCACTCTCTATTAATCTCAGCAGAGGCAGTCTGATCTCTGTGAGTTCAAGGCCAGCCTGGTCTCTATAATGAGTTCCAGTCCAGCTAGAACTACATAGTAAGATTCTGTCTCAAAAACAAAAACACATAACAGAAATAAATAAGAAAGTTATGCTGTTTTAAAACAGGGCATCTTTGTTGTAATACTCAGAGAAAATCTAGTGGAACCATTTCAGATCACAAAGCTGCTGGAGGTTCCAACACATCATCAAAACACAAGGAAGCAGAAATAAATTGACAAGCAACATTTCTCAGAGACCCATTTTTAGTGGGGCAACTAATCTGCTAGCAGAGGATCTCTGTTGGACCTTAGCTTCATTGCTTAGAAGTGGGTGACAAATTAAATGTAACTTTTCTGACTCATACATAAAATGGGAATGAGACTATCTACTTGGACACTATCATAAGAAGACATCAGGAAATACAGCACATTCAAATACTATGTACTCTATACATATGAAGTCATCAAAAGGCAACAGAAGTGAGTATTCTGAGTTATCATTGGGGAGCAATACAGATTCTGGAAAAATAGTAAAGGAAAACCTTCAAGTAAAATAAGAATTATTGAGATATCTGACAGAACTAGTAAGTTCATGATTAATTTATTGTATTCCTGAAGGATCTGATTCTACTTTAGATTGCACATGACTGCACTTACTTTTTCTTTGAAATTATTGAGAATATTTGAGTTCAATATGAGGGCCCAAACTGTAAACACCAGTTTTTTTTTTAATGTTTCTACAGTGCATAGGCTTTGTACTCCCAGGACTATCTAGAAAGCTGTTTTGATTAAAAGGACTATAAAAATTCCAGTTATTTAAGTGGCTCATCTATTCACACTTACTTGAAGTTTTGTTTTATATTGTATGAAACTAGGAATAAGTAAGTTCTGCCAGACCTCCATTAAAATCTATACTGAAATATCCAATGGCTCACATGCTATCTCAGCTTAAATATCTAATGGATACCTTATTCTAATAACCCAAACTGTTTTCACATGCTTCCTCCACACTCCTTTAGCTTCTTCTATATCCTATATCAGTCAATAATTTTAGCATCTATATGTCAATATGCTGTTTTAGGCTCCAGTGGACATCAATTCAGCAAGCTTGCATTTGATAAAAAGCAGTCAAGACAAATTACTAAAACACACCATCTTTTAGAAAACTGCAGGAGAGAAAAAGAAAGCAAATATGTGGCCTATGTAAGATCACAGAAGGCAATTAATTTCCATTTCAGGGTCTGTGGTCATAAGAGAGATCTCTTGGAAAGTGAAGTGGAAAAGGTCTACAGGTGAGGGAAGAATAAGGCAGAGTAAGGGGAAAGAAAACTCCAGAAATCATGGCAAGTGAAAGCCTTTGTAGGATTGAAGGACAGCAAAGAAGTCAGGAATCAGAGTGTGCTGGAGTAGAGGAAGCCACAAGGAAAATAGAGGAAGAGTTAAGAAAGATAAAATGGGCAGTATGAGCTAAAGATTTAGGGTCTTGTAACCGCTGCAATGTCTTGAAATTCTGTCATTAGTAAAACTGGAAGGGACTTACCAACCTCTAGATTTATCTTATATTCTGATCATTGGATTCTTCAACTCAAGTTACCATGTAAATTCCTTAAGAACAAACTTTGTCAGTATTGTTTACACATGGAATATTATAACAACAAAAAAAACTGTTTGGTGAATCTTCAGATGAATGAATGAATAAATGACTTGGTCAGTGACAATATCAGTGAAAAATATAAGAAATATGTATAATCCAAAAGTCAAAGTTAGACAAAATAAAATAATACACAAAATTTAATCACCGAAAATGAGGCCTCATGTGGACTCTTAGACAAGGAGTTGGACATGTTGGACACTAATGTCCTCACCTCCTGCTTGACTGTCTTCAATATTGAAATTAAAGAATCACATTAGGTAGTTCCTGGCTGGATCTTACAACCCATGATTTATAATTCAGAAATCTTAGTGGTGATTACCGTTATACATACAGATTATGATATGTTGATGCTGTTCAGACAAAATTATTGCTAACAACAGTGAAAATTATTTTTATAACCATGTTGAGAGAAGTTGTTTCATGAGTGGGTTGCAGAGCAATAGTTGGGATAAACTTGTGGCTTGAATTCAAGGCCATGCTATCATTAAAAACGATCTCTATACCTTATGTATATATTGCTTATTATTTAATCAGATTGATCTCCTGAGGTCTGAACAAATATTGGAATAAAACACCATAAAAATGTGGTAAGCACTTCATATAATCTGATATTTAAAAACAAAACAAAACAGTTCACGCTAGCCAGATTTTGATGTGAACAACTCAAATTTGTGTTTAAAAGGCCTTTTGTATCTAAATAGGGGTAAGGTCTAATACAAGGAAGGCATAACTTTTCAACGAGGTAATTAATTTCACTTCTAGTCCAGATATAATTTAGCACATTAATTGCATGCTTCTTTATTTACAGGAGGATGGTCAATGTAAATTTATAATATCCGACTAAATTCCTATAAGCATTTGGCTTATTTTAACAGTTGTATAAAATAGTAATCAATCCCTTCATTAAAGTAGACATACTTAATGGAAAAGTAAACTAGCATCACTTTCAAATTTAATGATTAACATTTTCCAAGTAGGAAATAATTAAGTTATCAAAATAGTCAAAAAAAGTTATTTTTTCATCAGTTTCTAAAAGTTAAGAAAAACATCCAACCTTCTAGTGCATTAGCCTTTGGATCTGGTTTAAACTCTTCTGCTTCACTAAAATAAAATAAAAGAGAATAATTTTTAATGTGTATATTTAACAAATGAAGAAGCTACTCATTAACAACAATCTGTCATTCTCTACATGGAAGCACACTTGGGACAGCATGTTGCTAAAATTGGAAATTGAATGAGAATGATTTATGATTTACTTTTCTACAATTTTAAATTTATTATAAATATGTATATATATGGCAATTTTAGAAAGTTACATTGTACAGTTTTGTGTCATTAAGCACATTTTCATTGCTATGCAAACATCACCATCTTCCACTTTCAGACATGTTTTGTGCTTAAACACTAACACCCATTTTCCTCCTGAAAAATCACTATTTTACTTTTTATCTTTAGGATTTTGAATACTCCAAGTAGAGTTGTAATTTTATTTGTTACTTTGTTACTTACTCTAATTAGTTCAATGTCATCCATATTCATGCATGTTTTAGTATGTGAGGATTTTCTTTAAGTAGTAGATAATATTCAAAAGAATGAGACATTTTTCTCCTGATTTCATCCACTGATGAACAATGATGAAAGGTTGCCTTTCTCATTGGTTTATTCTGAATCATGTTGGTATTGCACATTCACTACTATCTATGGCAGTACCTGCTTTCAATTCTTTGAGGAATATATTCAGAATTGCTGGGTCACACACTAATTCCATGTTAAATTCCTTAGGAAAGTGCCACACTGCTTTTCATAATGATTTCACAATTTTATAATTTACCATCAGTGCAAAAAGGTTCCAGTTCCTCTCCATCCTTAATACTTCTTTTCTTTTCCTTTCCTTGCTCTCTTTTCATGCTCCTTTCCTTTCAGTGACTGTCATGATTTCAAATGGCATCTTATGAGATTTTGATTCACATTTCCTTAGGGATTAATGATGTGGAGCACCTTTCACGTGCTTTTTGTGCAATCTTTTAGAGGATTTTTCTGTTCAAATAATTTGTATTTTTTAAATTGTTTTTGTTGTTTTATTATGAAGTATAGGGAGTGGTTTATATAGTGACCCCATGTATCTGTAAATATGTATGTATGTGTGTGTAGTGTGCTTGCATATGTGTGTATGTATGTATGTATGTGTGTGTGTGTGTGAGAGAGAGAGAGAGATAGAGAGAGAGATGTGTATCATCTGCAAATATTTTCCATTCCTAGTATTGATTTTTTCATTCTCAATTTGTATTGCTCACATTGTCACAAAATAGTATACTTCTTATTCTACTTAATAATTTACAGTTTAACTTTGTGTTTTTATATTACTACAGCTAGTTTGTGCTTTTAAAATTAATCTCTGAGTGCTCCAACTTAACATTTTCCCATGTCTTCTTCAGATTCCTCTTGTAAGGCAGAGCTATACACTTTTAGCTTACTTAACAAAACTAGGCAGGAGTCTTCCTGTGCTGACAGAACACTTTTTGCTGCTGACTCTATGCCTATCATTCAGGTTATAATAACAACCACAAGCAACAACACATTAGCAAATATCTGATCCTCTGACATTTACATGAGAGAACAGGTATCTGAAAATATGTAGAGGCTAGGTAACTAGAAATACAGCATTGTATGGTAAGAGAAATCTTAAGACTTAGAGTCAAGGAATGAGAATTAGAAGTGAAGAAGGATTTGATACTGGGCACTTGCTCAGATACAGATTTGCTAACAGACCCATTCTTTCATCTCAGGTTTTTAGATTGGTTCTGCACTAAGTTGTCTGTACCCAGAAAGGAGGTCTTCTTGGTTGTATGATGAAGTACTCATAATTCTGTGTATGAAGTAATGTGTTGGTTCAGCAGCAAGTCTTTCTTCTTTCTGTAAAATTATAAATCAGGTATTACACACACAGAACTTGATATTGACTTTCTCCCCCATTGTCATTTTTGTATTCCCATCAATCCTTTAAAAAAAGAAAGTTTTATAGATTACTTAAAAATATTATTTTAAAAGGTAAAAATAGAAGTGGTCCCTTTAATTCTAATTAAAATGTTTCTTCTAGTGTAAGTTTCTTGGAAATGGTTATGAAAAGATATTCTAAATTATGGCACTAGATTTTGAACACATTTTAAATGTAAAGTACAGATACTGAAGAATGTAACATTCTATTTTAAACTTTAAAATATTTTAATTACAGTTTATTGAATTAAATAGAAGAGCAGCAATACAACTCTAAGCATCTCATAAGCTTGTATGATCAGACATTTATCACATACTCTGATCAATTTGTTGGGAAATCCTGTGTTTCTGATTTGACTGAAATTAGATGTGTTTATTTTCTGAGGTTTACTATAGATTTGGTGTTTGTCTAAACACAGAAGTACAAAAACTATGGTAGGATGTTTAATTAAGGCAATTGTCTCACTAGGAAATCTCACATCATATGATTTCCAAAAATATGATTAATATTGACTTTTGGACAGGGCAAAACCACAAGGGTCATTGAGTATCTTATCACTATTGGATGGTTTGGATACAGTAACATGAACTGTACCTCATCACGATTAAGAAGTTTAATGGACGAATATATGTGTGATGTTTAAAATACTGTATATAACTTGTTACATTTAGGTAAGAGTCAAAAACTGTGCAATAAAAATATTCACCATATAATTTATCAAGGTAACATATTGATTAAGTGCGAGAAAGTCTGGATTCAGACCTGTTGCAGGATATTTGATTACACTGTGAACCCAAGATTTCATTATTTATTGGAAAAACCTGTTTCTAGTTGTGGTGTGGCTCAGGCCTAGTACACAACTTTAATCCAAGAGCTTTCTGCTTGAATATTGTGAACAGGATTAAATAAAGTCAATCATAGGTCAAGAGGCAAAGCAAGCAACTTGTTGACAGGAAGTGAACATAGTATTATTAAGAAAAAAACATAGAGAGTAAGAAGGAGTCAGGGGATGGATAGAGATATGCACAGGAAGCAGAAGGGAAGACATTGAGTTTGAGGATTTTGTTTGAGATGTCATAGGAAAAAAGTCTTTTTCTGGGATGTCAAGGGAAGAGGAAGGTCAGCGAGGTGCTTTCTCTGCCTCTCTGAGCTAGTAGGATTTCACCCTAGCATATGGCTCCTGAATATTTATTGATAAAATCAACCATTTGAGATTTAGTTAGAAAAGCAACATTTGGTGCCCAATGTGAGGCAGGATCAAAAAGACAGAGAAATCATGCCAGCTATGAACAAACTGAGAAGACATATTTGGTAGGACAAATTGGAAGTCCTCAATGAGAGAGGTAAATAATATTAAAAGGAAAAATATTTCCCATGTTAAGGATAGGAACTATAATAATATGAGGACATTAGGATCCTATATAATGCTACTTTAGGTGACTTGAAAACAGAAGCAGAAAATTAAAAGATGAATTACTTAACTTAGATTGACATAATATTGATTATAATTACTATCAGTCTGGTAATTCACAATTTAGCTTTAATAGTCTTAGTGGGTTTTTGTGCCAAATATGAGAAGTGGATTGATAGCATACAAGTCTTAGAAAAACTTATAAATGAAAATAAGAAATATACTCAGACACAAACAGAGGAATTTATACAAGAACCTACTGCACTACCATATGATGAAACTGAAGAGCAGCAGCCCAAGGATGTTAGAAAATCAAACTTAGCTTACCCAGTTACTTTATAAGAACTACCAGTAGATGATAATCACCCCCAAGGTTATCAAGAAGTTAAGAATCCCATAAAAATATTAGATTTGAGGAAATTTAATGAAGTGATTGTTTCAAATGGTATGTATTCACTCTATGTGAAGCAGATATTAAATTCATTAAATTAAACTCAGAAAAGCATTATCTCCCAAGACTGGAAAGGTTTGGCAGTAGCAATATTCAAAGCTAGTCCTCAGCTACAATGGTGAACATGGTGAAAAGAGGAAGCTAAGGTCATAGAACAATAAAATAAAGCTGGGGTATTAATATTTCCCAAGATAAGTTTTGAGGTGAAGGTCAATATGCTGAGTTGCAAAGGCAGCTTGAATTTGATGATAATGCCTTGGCCTTGGTGTGATGCTTTTTAGCAACTTTAAATGCTTGGGACAAGGTTGAAGAATCAGGAAAGAGGCCTGAATCATTTATTAAAATTATACAAGTCCCCAAAGAAGCTTTCATTGATTTTTTTGTGTGTGTAAAGATTGGCTTCAGCTGTAAATACCATAGTATCAGATCCAGAAGTCAGACAAATATCAATTCAATCTTTCTTCAAAATGTAAAAGGATGATAAGGCCTTTAAAGGCAAGATCAGTACCAATAGATGAGTGGATTAGAAATATTATGGATTAGAAATATTAGTGGATTAGTAATATGTTACTCTTATAAGAGAAATAATTTCTAAAAGTTTTAAGAAAAGTCAAAATGTCAGGTGTTTTAATTGTGGTAAGCAAGGTCATTTGAAAAGGGATTGTAGGCAAGGTATTCCTAAAAATGATGACTATTCTGTAGATAATCCAAACAGGTCCTAGCCTTCTGGTGTATGCAGAAAGTATGACCAAAGCTGGTATTGTACTAATGAATTCAGATAAACAAGGGACAGGCAAGGTAACCCTTTGCCATCAAAATGCCCTAAGGGGCCTCTCACAGGCCTTGATATCAATTTGGTTTAATAATCCCCTGTCAGCATTGGAGAAACTCATAAACAGAAAAATTAAGAGTTAATATATGTTGTTAAAAACAACACTGACCTGGATGTAATCAAGGAGAGAACAGCTTTAGTAAATAAAACAAAAAATTCAGGAGAGACAAGAAAACAAGTATTTTGGCAAACTGCTGCAAATGATAAGAGACCTAAAAATACAAATAAATCACATTGAAATGGAAGGTTTACTAGACACAGAAGTTAGATATAAATAACTTCACCAAAATGTTGACATTCATTGGCCTCTTCAGGAGATAAATATTCAGCATTAGGGATTGGAACTGTACCTCAAGTGAAACTAAATGCAAGATGGGGGTAGTGTATAGGGATAGAAGGACAAATGGGAAAATTAAAGCCATATGTGGCTAACATAGCAATGAATTAATTTATGGGGAAGTGATTTATTGCAGCAATGAAAACCACAGGTGAACATTATTCCAATCTCATAAGCAAACCATAAAAGATATTTCCAAGAAAAATGTTAAAAGGTATTATCATGAAGAATCAAAGACTGTTCAGGTTGTACATAAAGAGGACACAACAGCTGTTGGTCTTTTAAAAGTACCAACTACCCTACCTTTAAAATGGTTAAATGACAAATCTGTGTGGGTAGAACAATGGTCTTTGACATCAGAAAAATTACAGGCACTAGAACAGCTGATACAGGAGCAGCTAAGTACTCAATATGTTGAAGAATTGACTAGTCCTTGGAATTCTCTTATAGTCATTAAAAAGAAATCTGGAAATGGAAAATGTTAACAGATTTAAGAGCCATAAATACGGTGATTTAGTCAAAGGGCTCTTTACAGCCTGGAATTTCCTTGTCTTTTTTATTGCCTAAGGGAAGGTCTAAGGTCTATTATAGTGATTGATTTGAAAAACTGCTTTTTTCCATATACATTTACCAGAACAGGATAAAGAAAAATGTGCCTTCACAGTGTCTACTTATACTAATGCTCTACCTGTTAAAAGGTATCAGCGGAATGTTCTTCCATAAGGAATGTTAACAGCCCCTCCTGTGTCAATATTTTTTTACAACAGCCATTAGAAATAATCATAAAGTTTCCTTAATCTATATATTGATGATATCTTACTAGCTGATTGAGAGACATATAACTTAGAAAAAGGTGTTTGATGAAGTAAAGAGAATTGTGCCTTGCTGGGGAATACAAATTGCTCCAGAAAAAAATACAAAGAGGAGATTCTATCAATTATCCATGATATAAGGTAGGTTTATTGAAAATTCAACCACAGAAAGTAGAAATCAGGAGAGATCAATTACAATCTCTTAATGATTTTCAAAAATTGCTGGGAGAACTATCTAAGGCCCACATTTGAATTAACTACTCAAGAGCTAAGTACCTTATAAGGTGATAAGGACTTAAATAGTTCAAGAAATCATCAGCTAAGGTTGAGAGAGAATTTGGTCTGGTAGAAAAGAAATTACAGGATGTACATTAGATTGCTCGGAGCCAAAGCTTGATTGTATTCTGGTTATTTTACCATCTATGCATTCTCCCACAGGAATTCTTATGCAGAGAGAATAAAATATCTTAGAATAGATATTTTAGCATACAAATAGAGTAAAAAAATTAAAGATCCATATAAAAATTTTCTGAATTGATTTTTAAAGGAAAAAGAAGATTTTGTCAATTAGCAGAAATAGACCCATCAGAAATTGTGGTACCTTTTACTAGTGCTGAAATTGCCTCATTATGGGCAGAAATGAACATTGTCACAGAGCTTGCAGCAAATTTTTTGGAAAGATTAACAAATATCCCCAAAAGAAAAAGACATATGTTTATAAAAAGAACTAACTGGATTCACTCTCATATAGTAAAAGGAACACCAATTTCTAGATCCCCTACATTCTATACTGATGCAAATAAATCAGGAAAGGCAGGTTATAATTCAGAAAAAAATAAGTAAAGTGGCTCAAAGCCCTTATGATTCAGTAAAAAATTCAGAGCTATGTGGCATTCTTATTTTTTTTCCAGATATTCCTGGATCTCTTAATATAGTTACTGATTCTCAATTTGCAGAAAGAGTTGTTTTACAACTCATTCCAGATTATTCAGAATTAACTTCACTAATTATTCAACTACAACAAATAATCAGAAACAGAAAGCATTCATTGTATATAACACATATCAAATCCCATACATGTCTACTAGGCCCTCTAGCACAAGATAATAATGAAATTGATCAGTTATTAATAGAAAATGTGCTAGAAGCCTCAGAATTTCATAAGAAACGCCATGTTAATAGCAAAAGTTTGAAGAAAGATTTTTCTATCACTTGGTAACAAGCTAAGAAAATTATAAAGGCAATGTCCTACTTGGTTCTTTTTAGAGCCAAACCCCATTACCTACAGGAAGTAACCCAAAAGTTACCCAAAGAAAAAAAACTTGGCAAATATATGTGCACCATACCATAGACATATATTCAGGGTTTCAAAGGGTAACTGCTTTAAGTTCTGAAAAGGCTGATTCTGTAATTAGACATTTATTAGAAGTTATGGCCATCATGGGGATACCTGTGCAAATTAAGACTGACAATGCTCCAGCATATGTCTCTAGTAAAGTGAAACATTTTTTTGCATATTAAAGCATAAAGCATATTATAGGTATACCACACAATCCTACAGGACAAGCACATATAGAAAGATCTAATTGTACTTTAAAAGATATACTTAATAAACAAAAAGGGGCAATAAAGACACCCTGGGATAGATTACATAGTGCTTTAATTACTTTGAGTTTTCCAAATGCTAATGAGAAAACAATGACAGCTGTGGAAAGACATTGGATAATAATAAAAAAACAAAACTATGGAATTAAATCAGTCTGTATATTTTAAAGATGTGTAGACTTCAGAATGGAAACTGAGATATGTGTTACATTGAGGAAGAAGTTTTGCCTTTGTTTCCACAGGAGAAGAAAGGCAATGGAAGCTATCAAGATTGATAAAGATTAGATTCGAACAGGGAGACCTCCTCAAATAGGAGAGGTTCTAGTTCATTAGACAGCTTGATCATTCAATCTAAACTAATAAACTTATAAAGACTAACAAATACCTATCATTTATTCAGGCATGAACAATAAAGGCAAATAATGTTTTGAATGATAATTTACCATAGGTACACTTGCCTGTGGTTACATTTTATTTGTGCTGTAACAAATAAATCTTGCCTGGGGATCAGAGGACCAAGCAAGCCACTATATTAAACACAGAGGTCAGGCAGTGGTAGCCCATGCCTTTAATCCTAGCATAGACCAGTGAATATCTACAAAGTATTTGTTTTGTAAATTCTAAAGTTACAATGAACAAAGGTCATGGTGACACATGCCTTTGATCTCACCACCCAGGGGAAAAAACTCATAGACAGCTCCTAATTGGTATTTTTGCACACTATGGAAATCACATACCATGTTTCCAGAATATTATGAAAACTATGAGGTTTCTAGAAAGGCATCTAATTTCCAATGGGTGCAGGAACAAAGAGCAGCTTTTGCAACTCTAAGCTCTTCTCCATGCTGCAACCCTGACCAATATTGAACCAGTTGATATTCTAATTATGGATATCATATTTATTGGTGAATTGACAACTGGAGACTCTTCATAAAGCAAAAATGAGTCCACCAACTTTTTCCTGTTGGTTTCTAATGCAAACATTTTCCATATAAGGAGAATAAATATCTTGTTTGAGAGACAAATCTGCACATTTTTATGAGGTATGGAGAACCTTATACTTAGTCATTGCCAACCACCCTATGGCGGCAATGGTGCCGTTACAAGTATGGATTGGGTCCATCTAAAGCCAGAGACCTTCACAGGCTTAGCTATGTAAGGAAATGTATTACAATGGAACTGGTACCTATTTGCATTCCTTTACAACCAGGGTATGGTAGCAAAGGGGTCTGTGCCTTCCCACACTGAGGAAATAGCTCAGTTGCCCATAATGCCCATCCTTAAACCTATCACTTACCACCCAAAAGAGGTACCTATTGAACTGTGGGAACCAAGAGAATGATCACATTTGGCTAACACATGGTTTACTGATGGTTTTCAACCACGGGTAGACCAAAAACTACTGGAAAGTGGCAGCCTATAGACCAGGTATGGAATGGCCAATACTGAGGAAGGAACCACAAAATTAGTGCAGCACAATTGGCTATAAGACAAACAACTAGGAAAGCAAAAGGAGAATCTCCATCTTCTCCAATTCATGGTGTATATGCAAAGGTACAGCTATATGGTTATCAAAATAGAAAACCACTAACTCTCAGATAAATGACAACGATATCCAGTCATAGGAGGCACAAATGGAAATGGTATAACATGGAAAAACTTAGCAAAGACATCAAATTTTATGTCGCTCATACAGACAAGATAGCCAAAACATCTAAAAATAATGAAATAGCAGACAATTTGGCATCATGTTTAATTAAGACTATAATATTAAAAGTTGCCAGGGAACAAACTCAGAATAAATCAGCAAGAATGATAGATTACACATTTGAAAAACTTAAAAATTTACCCCTAAATAATAGAGGAAATGGAGAACCAAATTAAAACAAGACAACCCTATGACAATAGCTATTATAAGGAATCCATAACCAGGTGGTGGTTCACACCTTTAATCCCAGCACTTGGGAGAGAGAGGAAGGCATATAAGAATTACAGAAATTTAAATTTAAAAGCCACTTGCAAAAGGCAGGCTGAAATTCAAAGTGAATGTCCTTTGTGATCTAAAACTAAATACACTTAAACATTGAGTTTATATATAAAGAAAAGGGGAAATATATGCATATTAATCCACTCATGCTGATGTATATTTAGTTTCAAAATTTCCAAATAATTATTTTAATTGAAAGATAATACTTTTTCTGTTGCCAAAATCATTTTGGCCTAGGAAAGATAGAACCTGCAAAAAAAAAAAAAAAAAAAAAAGTACTCTCAGCATTTGAGTTGGGGTAGGGTTTTGATTTTATCATTCCAGGAGAACAAAAATATCCAACTAAGGGATCCAGAGACCACTGGATAAGTGAAGCATCTAAAGAAAAAGAATGTATCATCAAGAGAAAATGTCCCAAGGAAAAGAGTAAATTTGGCCAAGTGGTATCACCTACTTCCAACTGACTGGCCTGAAATCCCAGCTCAGAGTCCCAGAGTGTGACCCAAAGATCAGCTTCGGACTATGAACTGCTTGGAACAAATTTCTGAGTTCATATCATACTGACACAAATATTTTACAGAACTTTGTACTCAAAAATGTTTAATCCTAAGTCTGCCAAATACAACCTAGCTGGACATTGTGGAAAGTTTGACAGATATAGCTTCATTATTGCAAATAATTTTAACGTGTTAGAGTAAGAAACATTTCCTATTTATTTAGACGAGAAAAGGGAAATTTGCAGGATATTTGATCACGCTGTGAACCCTGAGATTACATTATTTATTGGAAAAAACTGTTTCTAGTTGTGTGGCTCAGGCCTAGCAAGTACCTTTAATCCAAGAGCTTTCTGCTTGAATATTGTAAACATAAATAAAGTCAACCGTAGGTCAAGAGGCAGAGCAAACAACGAGTTGATAGGATGTGAAGATAGGATTATGGAAGATGGATGGAGAGATGCACAGGAAGTAGAAGGGAGGGACACTGAGTTTGAGGTTTTTGTTGGAGATGGTGGAGGACAAAGGACTTTTCCTGGGATGTCAGAGGAGGAGGAAGGTCAGCCATGTGCTTTTGCTGCCTCTCTGAGTTAGTAGGCTTTCATGTGGCCCCTGATTGGTAAAATTGAACATCTGAGATTTAGTTAAAAATAACACAGACCAGATAATGATTTTTTGTTGTTTGTTTTCAATGCTGTGGATTGGACTTAGGTCTTAACACAAGTTATGCAACAATCTCACTTTCTACAGATCATTTTTAACTTCCATATAACTTAGCCAGGTTCTGGATCCATTCTATTGACATGAAGTTCTCTATGGATGTCCAACAAATATTTATAGCCCAAATACAAAATGGAATCTCTTGTTTAAAAAATAAGGTTGAATTTTCTTAAGCAGTGCCTAAGTAGTTTTGGTTTTTGTGTATTAAATATTTAATTGAGTTTCATGTTTGGTTAATTATTTAACCTATGCTATATATCTACAGGCTTATGCAGATAATCACTCAAGTATGCTTTGCTGGATAATCAAGGTACACTCCAGAACAGAATGTCTGAGGTTAGCTACTCTTCCAAGCTTCTGGGAATTATATTTGTCACCTACCTTATACTGCAACTTGTCCTTAGAAGACAATCCTTCTGCTAAGCTTTTAGAAGAGGGCATATCAAGCTCAGCAACAGCTCTTTTAACATGTGTCTTGTTAAGTTTCATAGCCTGATTTCCAAATGATCCAATACTTTCAATATTTTCGCCAGGAGTGGGCTGACAGCATTTACTTAGTGCTAAGAACTTTCTCAGGCTGCTTGTGCTTGTTATTGTCTTTGGAGAAACAACCTTGGTTCCTAAAGGTTTCACAACTTCTTCACCATGATCTCCAGATATTTCTCCTAAGCACTGATGTCCAGCAACCTCTCCTAAAACAATTTCCTCTTCATCAGAAACTGCGTCATCTCTGAAGTTACTTTCTGAAACTTTTTGACTAATATCATGAGCTACTAATCGAATGATCAGATCTTTTTTGTTATTAATATCTTTCAAAAGCTCTACTCTGGTGATATCAGGTCTTCTTATATTTTGAAATGAATTCCTGCCAACAGCCTGGAATTGAAAGTACAAAAAATATTAAAAAATATATATATGTCAATATCTTTTCCAATATTACTTTGTATCATAGCTATTTTTTATGATTTCTAACTTCAATCTAGCTAATATCTTCAAATTCCACTTACTAGTATATTTTCATTGTTTTAAAAGAAAGAAATAGATAAAAATCATATGCAACACTTGTTTGTATCTAGCATTATTTTTACATTGAGATAATATTAATCTGTCATAATTTGTTCCAAATATCCAGTCTAACATAATAGTTTAAGCTTTATATTTTCTTATAAAATAAACTTACTTTTGTAATTTCTCTTAAAATTGTTACAGAACCACATAATTAACTTTTTTGTCCTTAGTAAGTGATACTATAGACATCTAGATATTAATTTTTAAAGAAAAGGCAAGACTTTAACAAACTCTACTTATAAAAGCAATGCCGTATAGGAATTGTGATCTTCAGCTTATTTTTTTTACTCCATAATCACATCCTTTGTCTTTTGCAGAAATAAGTAAATCTTCATTTCTTTTTCATATTCCACTCAAATCCCAATTAACTATTTTTTAATATAGAAGAATCCAATAAAGGGTAATTATAATTTAGTAACCAAATCACTTCATTTCTGTAGCCTTTGCTATATCACAGAAATTTAAATAAATTTATAATTGATCTTTAACTCAACCTTTCTTTGCAACTTTCTAAACTATATTTTCAAGTGATGATGTCTTACAAAGATCAGAAGTTTATTTCTTCTGTGGATGTCTTACTAAAGCCAGTGAGTTTATTAAGGTTACTTACAGGAACATGAGTGAGAGTTTACTTTTAGATGGGTAGATGACTCAAAGGTAGCTTTATCAGTAAAAATCCTAACCAAATATGAATAATGGCTCACTAAAATTGCATCCCTTGAGCTTTCTGTATAATATCCTGTCAGCTTTCCACTTTCTAGTAGTTGTTACCACTGAAATGACCTTGAGTAAAGTCTTGTGAATCTTATATGCCTTAGGAACTTCCTGAAACTTGTAAGTTGTATTTTATTCTTGAATCTTAGTAAGTCTTTGTCTAATAGAGAATGTTATACTTTGGAAGAAACAACTAAACATCATCAGCCTTTGTAGTAAGTTCCAGGTTGTCCTGGGCTAAACAGTGACCTAGTCTCTAACTCAACAATCAATCAATAACTAAATAACTTATTTAATTATCAGCCTTGAGACTTAATTCAGTAATTTTCAGAGACATACTGGAAAAAATGAAGTATTTATTTTCCAGAGAATATAGTTTTATACTTGGGTCAGTGCTATGGCATAGATTACATCCATAAAAACAGAAATCCCACAAAAATGCACACATTCAATATGAGAAATTTGAATAGAACCCCAATGTGCCAGGAATGGGTTACATTTTATTGACCAGATGATCAAATGGGTCCTATAGAACCCCTCAAATACCACAGGCTATTGATAAGTCTATTAGTTACCCTCTGCAACTTGACAGTAAATGCTATGGCTCTAGATATCACATACTCATGTCTTCAAACACGGAGAAATAGAGTTGGTACCTAACTAGAAACTTCACCCCTAGTGACTAGCTTTCATGGTATAGGAAAGCAATGTGCATGCTACTGGAGGAGGAAAGGAGGTATCAATGTCATTCAGCTACAAACCCTGAAAACTACAACAGTGAACTGACTGCAAGAGATACAGTTGCAGTAGTGGACAAAGTTTATGGCAGTAATTAACCAGTTTTTGATTGGATGTAAACCCAATCAAATGAGATAGAACCTGTATCTGACATTGCTCATGTGGCTAATGACCTGAGACTGGAGAGATCATTGGCCTATGGGAAATACAGTTAATTCAGAATTCAGAAATTCTGATAAAGGAATACAACAATAAAATGATCTCTCATGACATATTGCTATAGCCATAAATCAGTGCCTCATTCATCCCTCATCAGAAAATAATCTTCTTGGTAATTAACACAGAGATCCACAACCAGAAAATGTGCAGAATCTAATAGACTCTGTAGCACTCAGCCCTAAAAGGGATGTCTTTAGCAAATCTCTACCTTAAGGCCCAGGTATCTCTGAAGAAATGAGATGGAAAGACTGTTAAGAGCCACAGGTGGTGGGTGGTTGCAAGGCAATGCATCTTCTAGACACAACACAGCAGGCCTGTTATCCATATAAAGTCACAGAGAATGTGACAGCATGCATACGTTCAAATCAAACAAAATTCTAGCAGTGAGAAGAAGAAGTAGATGCATAGTACCACCCCTAAGCAAGAAGCTATTTGCAATTGATAACATGCTGGGAAAGGGAAAATCAGTTTTCTCTAAAATAATGTCACTGGGTATATCAATCATACTCCAGGGCAGGCCTCATACCCAGCAGTAATTGGCCCAAAAAACTGAACTTTATGTGTTTTTGCATGTCCTTTGTTGTTTTTGTTATATTTTGTCTTATGGTTTCTTTTCTGTATCTTTGTTCTGATATTTTTCTTTTTTTAAGAAAGAAGAGAGAGAGAGAAAGAATATGAAGTAGGGTGCATAGGGAGGTGGGGAGGACACAAGATGAATTGGGGTAGGGATATGATTCAAATATATTACATGGAAAAATTTAAATAAAAGTGAGAGAAAAATAGTACTGTAGTGCCTTAAATAGATGGCTTTTAATACATGTTCTTATACATTTCTAAATAAAATTATATTCCAGTCAATCTGATGTTAATTAGGTTCAATGAAAAATAGTTTTAGTGGATTATCTTATTAAAAAACTAGCCTTAGGCCTTTAGTGTGGAATATGGAAATGATATGGCAAGTCCCTGAAAATCCTGACTATGGAGATGAACCATTGCAACCAATTCCCTGTTCAGCTGGCAAAATAACAAGCATATGTTTGCATGTAGCTAGGAAAGGAAGGAAATCACAGAACTGCTTTCCCCCTTTTCTCCATTGCCATGATGCTTACCTCTAAGGGTTTTACATCCAGTCGTCCTGTCCTATCCAATGAGATGCGCCTTTCTTTCTGTCTTGCTCCTAGTTCAGACACATCTGGGGAAGAGTGACCTTTTCCACTTATGGAAGCTCTTCTCAGCTCTGCTATGCTACAACCAGTTCTCTTTATGCAGTCCATCTTAAGTGTCTCCAGAGGCTGAGTCTTCATAGAAATAACTGCTAAGTGTTCTGAGATGATATTTGGATCTATTTTCAGTGGTTTATTCCCGACATGTGGAATTATTCTAACAGGAAGTTCATCTTCTAATGCATCATCCGACTCTTTATCGGAGTCAGAGTTCATTTGTGCAGCATGCTTTTGTGCCTTTTCAATGATTCGATTTGTGTCTAGCTCTCCAAAAGCTGCAGTATAAGAACTCGTTGCACTAACTCTACATGATGGAACATTTGAAATGCCATCGACAATTAAGTTAGCCACTTTCTTAGGGAAGGCCTTCTTTGTACCTTTTATATCATAGGGCTCATTATGGGTTCCAGATTGGTTTATTATATTATCGTAAACAGACTCAATAACCTGAGAAATCATTTCAATGTTTTCTGAAGCTAAAGATTGTCCTTCAGGATTAGATTCCACGAGATTTATATTATTTCTGGAAATTTCAGCTGTTACAGATTTTATCAACTGAGATGCAATTTTCTTTAACTCAGGCTTTGTTAAACTGTCCATGTCTTTGCTTGCAACACCAGGCTTCTTTACTAGTTTAGCCAAGAATAAAGCCAATGCTTCCTCTAAAACTCTGGAGTCTAACATTAAATCTTTTACGGGTGAAGATTTTTCCTGGGACTTTAGCTCATCAATAATTTTCACCACCTTTTCCATAATTTTGACAGCTTCTAGAGCTAATTCTGAACTTGAAAGTTCTTCCTCTGCTTGAGGTTGAAATTCAGCATTGGAAATCTCCTTCACCATTGACAAACCTATTATGTCAGAAAGGACATTACTCTTCCCCATTAGATCTTCTAATACAGATGTAGGAGAGCCAGATTGTTTTAAAAGATTGGCATAAACGGAATTAACTACTTTGTCAATAGCTGCGTTGTCAGCTACAGGCACAGGTTCCGATTCCTTGGCAGGTTGTACAACTTTGATCTTACTTTTGGAAAAACATTCTTGGATTGACTTTAATATTTTTGTGGTTATTTTTTGCATTTCAGTTTCTTGAGATTTAGTTCTTTCTGTATGCACCTTTGGAAACCCAGATAAAAGTTTTGATAAGAATTTTACAGCAATTGCTTCTATTATATTATATGATAGTTTACGAGGACGTGGTGGCTGTGATGGAGTAGTTAAGACAACATTGGTGAGGATATTTTCAACAACATTGTCAACTTCTGCACACTGATATGGAGTCAACTCACCGCCAAAATAGTTCTGCAACTGATTGCCAGCCACTTCTCGAAGAACTAAATCAACTATGGTTTTTGAAAGGAATTTGCATCCACTAACTACACAATTTTGTATGGTTTCCTGTGATCCAAACTGTGGCAAAAGATTATTATAAATTGTCTGAACCACCAGCTGAATAATTTCATCATCATTTGGATGCAAAAAGTCTACATACTGTATATTCAAATCTTCATTTTTGGCAATCTCTGCTGCAACCACACTAACTAACTTCATTTTAAGGAAGTCAAGTTGTGTCAAAAAATTCTGTTGAGATATTTTTGTTTTGACATTGGATAGTTTTGAAAAAACTTTTGCTAAAAGAGCAGAAATCACATCATCTAAAAATTTGAAAGGCAGCTTTATGGTGTATGGAGACGAGGTTTGACATTCTTTACTGGCTGT